CCTTAAAAACTGTGATGGCAGGAGCCAACATGTTGGAATTGATATTGATGTTCTGAAGACGCTTGATGAATTTAACCCAAGGCAACACACTCATGAAACAATATGGGAAAACTCCATAAAGAAGGTGTTTGGGTGCCTCACGAACTCTCCGATGATCATTGTTTCCAATGTGTGAACGTCGTTGCTTCATCTCTTCTGGCGCGTAATGCACGTGAACCATTTTTGGACAGATTTGTCACTGGTGATAAAAAATGAATTCTCTATTGTGAATATTAAACACCAAAAGCAATGGCTCAGTCTTAGACAAAAACCACTTACTGACCCCAAAACCTGGACTCCACCTGCAGAAAGTGATGCTTTACATTTGGTGGTTATCAAAGGAGTAATTCATTTCGAACTCCTCAATCTACAGCGAACTGTCAATGCAGAGATCTATAGTCAGCAACTGGAATATTTAAATCCAGTCTTTCTTTAGAAATGTCCTTCACTCGTCAATTGGAAAGATGTTCTTCTTCACGACAATGCATGTTCACGTGTGGCATATTTGATGCAACACAAGATTATGGAGTTGGGTTGAGAAGTTCTCCCCCATCAACATATTCTCCAGATATGGCAGCATCAGATTACCATTTTTTTTATTCGCTGCAACACCATCTTAATGGGAAAACGTATGCAAATGTGGAAGGTATTAAAGAGGACATAGAAATGTTTTTTGCTTCAAAGCCAAGTAATTTCTTTATTCAGGGTATTAACAACCTGATTGATAAGAATGGAGACTATTTCATTTAATAAATATTTTGTTTTGATATACAAGTTGTTTGGGTTTTTTCATCTAAAAAAAAGCGACATTAATTTCTTGACAACCTAATATATATATAGAGAGAAAATGACATTGTCATCTCTCTCCGAGTTCATATGTTGCCCACATTATGTCTGTGATCATTCTATAAGTAAAAATAGGAAGGACACCCTCCATGTGCTCCTAAATCTCTACACATTCAATTTCAATAAAGAACATATGTAATACTAAACTTTATAGATCTCCACTAACAACTTTTGTAGGGGAGATAGAAGCACCAAATGGAAATGACCTCTGACAACGTATAACTAAGTCACTAACAAGTTTGTTGCATGCTATAACCAGTACGCAGAAATGCCTGATAGATTTCACATACTACAATATGTTTATTTCAAAGCTACTCAATGGGCTGTCTGTGCTGTGCCCCATTGCAGTAATCAAACCCCAATTTTAAAAATATATTTAATTAGTTTTCTTTACCCTACTCATAGAAAATATCTGTAAACAATGTTCTGAAAAACTGGTTATGTGCCCACACTTTTTTTTTTGTAGTTCATTTATCTTCAAAATACACACATGTATATACAATAAATGGGGATTGTCTCACTTTATTGTATAACAAATGCAAGTATGGGATTTACTGTAAAAAACATTAATTGCACCAGAGTGAGTACAGTCCTGTATTGATAGTTTACACTGGCAGTACATCACAGTCATAATACTTAACTAGCAGTTATACTATTCTCAACAGTAGTGTGGTGGATATGCTTATAACTCCCAAGATAAAAATACAGCATGTAGAAATCAAAGTTTTGTCTGATGAAGTATACACTAATACCATACATTGAAGTGATATTTCATATTATATTATCTGTATAGAAACTTAAGATGATACACAAAACTAATAGTATTGATAATAAAAACCACAGTAATAGAAAGCCTGAAATCAAACAATCAAATTATTATTAGACCTGCAATAATAAGTAACTATGGGTAAGCTGTATATGTGACAATCCTATAGATATTTTACCCATGATCTAGCTATAAGTGTGGGTGTGAATGTTACCTCAAAAATAATAAAATACGCATTAGCACTAAGAGGCATCAGTGAGTATGTAGCTGCTCAAAAACCACTACTTAAGAGAGAGAGAACCAAATCAGAAAGCTGAAATGGGTGCCAAACTTCTAACAATGGGATTATCAAAGCTGGAGGAGGGTGATCTTTACAAATAATTTTAAATTGTTTGGCAACAGTCAATGATAGTTGTTTGATAGCAGAGAGAAAAGCAATATCAAGGCCAATGTATAACATATACAGGAAAGTATGATGGACGACTAATACAGATGTGTTGCATCTCAGCCAATGGTATTGGAGATATATGAAAGGTATGGTACTCTGACTGCTGGCAGGTACATACACATTGTTATCTATGATGTCATTCCCTCAGGAAGAAGACCTGTTATGCAAGGATCCATCTTCCAGCAAGACGGTGATTCCATGTATGCAGTGTATACGGTAAAGTGATGCTTTGAAGGGAGAACAAGCTGATGGAACACTTTCATCTATGTCCCAATAGTATTAAAGGTGTAAGAGCTTCTATGAAAACGAGAATGTCAAATGGCAATCGGTCAACTTGACTGAATTGTGAAGAGATAATACAAGACATTCAGAATAATATTTCTAAGTCATACTTTCATAAATTTGCAGTGATGTAAAAACAAGATCTATGCAACTGTACAAAGTATTCACTTTTATTTTGAATTTTTGATAACAATGTATTGTATTAATGATAAGTTATCAATTTAGTTCCAATTACTCATTGTTTGTGACATCTGTTTCTCCATAATTATTTCTAATATTAACTTTTCTGTTTTCAGTCATGCTAAAAAGAATTTCAGACAAAATGTGAGACACTTGCATGATGATTAATTAGCATTAAGTTAAAAATAATGATTTTTTGAATGAAATTACCTTTTTATTAGTAACCTTTATTAAAACTTTTTTTTTTTTGTGATGAAAATTGGATGCAATTGCTGCCTAACCTATAAATTTTGAATTTATTTGTTAAGCTGCTTGTTTTATGAAGTTGTATCAGTAAAGATAAAAATCACATAAACAGGGCAAGATAGTCAGTGAATGGGACAGATAATGTATTTACGTGAAAACCCACTGAATGGATGATATATTAGACTTCATTATTTCACCAATAAGTTGTAACTATATTGTTTTTATGGCTCGACTTTTTCTATACTTTTAACAGATATGTATATATACTTCAAATAAAATGTCAGTAATGTCACAACAGCAAAACATTTATTGAGAAAGACTTAAGATAAATTAAAGTCAGTCAAGTTTTATCTGCTTTTAAATATTGTCAGTGTACACAGAGTAATATTAAGTGTCATTTTAATTTCAAGATTGTTTTATTGAAATTTTTAGAAAGATGTTAGTTTTTATGACCCTATGTTCTTAAAATTTTAATTAAAACTTGTGTACTTACTTCTGACCTTCTTTCATAGATGTGACTTGCAATAACATCTCTTGCAAAGCCAAAGTCAGCTATTTTGCATGCTTTATTTCCTCCTACTAATATATTCCTGGCTGCTAGATCCCGGTGAATAATCTGAAAATTTTTAATTACCATTCAGTCATGAACTTGTGTATAACTGATATAACACAATCACTAAAAAATACAATTATGAATGTTTAATTTATTGCTCTTTAAAACATGGTACTCTATACGTTTTCTCTACAGAGAAGCTTTCTGACAGAGAAATAGAAAGTATTTGATATCTTCAATCAGAACAGCACCCAATGCAACACTTGGGTTAAATTAATAAATCAAAGACCTTAATGTTTAGGTATAGCATTTAGAACTGTTGACCAGAAGGGAAGAAAACAGCAACACTCCTTGTCTATGTGGATATTCTAACAAAAAAAACAACGGTGAGAATGATTGTCACCTTTATAATGTACCCACAGTTGAAAGTGTGGAGCTTTGTAAGTGGCATATCGAACCTTGGACCTTCTGATTTGTTGTCCAGTATGCTACTTCCTATGCAGAATTATTTCCTACTTTATCATTGTTTGCAAAGATTTTGTTTAATACATATGAAGCTAATCAATTACCATCTTTGAAGACAGGTATTCCATTCCTTTAGCAACTTGGTAGGCGAATGACGTCAAATCTCTAGAAGTGAGACACTTGGATGTTCTGTTTTGGTTCCCGAAAATTCGTTCAGCCCGAGTTTCGCGCAGATATGTTTGAAGCTTTCCAAAAGGAATGTATTCCATTATGATGAGCAGGGGCTCTGAAATGTTAACATATTTTATCATTTATAATTACTATTACAAATTAGTGTTAGATTTGCCCAAAATAATGGATATCATTTTGTTCACCAGTGTTTTTATATCTGCTGTTATTAGCTATCATCAGAAAATACTTAAAAAATCTTTTATAATTTTTGTTGTTGTTGCTAATACATTTTGATATTATATTCCTAGGCTACTCAGATATTCGTAAAGTTGCTAAGTGCTTTCAACCTCAAAGTGACATTTTATACCTTAGGAAATTTATTGAACTGTGTCGTATTTTGTAATTAAGTGTGCAGTCTTTTCAGTAAAAGGAAACGAAAATAGAAATTGGACAACCCATGCACTTTTGGAAGGTACATTTTCTCTTTCCGGAGGTGAATAGAATCCTAATAAGCCGAGTGTTTTTGGAAAGTCGACCTTCCGAAAATGCTTATCAGTGCAGTTTGCATGGCTATTTCCAAAGTGGTTATTCGTAATACAATTTTAAAAAATCATTTCTACAGTATTGGATGTACAAGCTCTGAGAACAAAGGGCATAGTTTCAATATTTAATACTGCATTCTGATAAAAGAATGGTAATTCATATCCATAAGGGTGTGAATGAACAATATATACAACAGGTGCATAAGAAGGGTGTATCTCTTACATTAGTGCTTTACATCCCTATAGTTGTGAGTTCACACTTTTTCTTAATTAATCTATATTGATTTTGTTATAAATAAGGTATAATTAACTTTAACTATATTAACACATTAAAGGCAGACAACTAGTATTATTTTATGATAACTATTTCTGTCCAAAAGAATACTTTGTTAAAATGACCAGATTCTTACTGCGAGGAGTATGCACACAAAGCAATAAATTTTCTAATTTTTTAACAACTTATAATTCGATTGATGTATAAAGTCCAAGTAATTCGACACTAAAACTCGCGTCTTTTGAATTTATTAACCTTAACAAATAATGTAAATTTGAACAAAAGTAATGTGTGCTCATTTTATTTAAAGAAGTATACGTTATTGAAATACGTATAGAATTATATTCAACAAAAGTTAAGAGATATAGGCGGCGGAACCGGGAGGCACGTGTTCCCCCAATGTTGCGAAGTGCCCCTTTGAATGACGAATAGAGACTTGTGTATAGAAAATCGCTATCTCAGTTTTCAATTAAAGGGTGATAGTCAAAATAGCATATAAGATGCCCCTGCAAATTCCAATATGTTCCACCGTCTATGAATATATATCGTCATGATATTACTTGGTATATTGTATGGAAAACAGTATTCTTAAAATCAACTACACCACTGTCACTTTGTCATAAATCACACCATCTTCAGTCGCATTTACTAGGTAATTGTAAAAACAAACGATATTTATCAAAATGTGTACAAACAAACGTGATGGCATTTTGAACTTTTGGCAAAATACTGATAATTTTTAATCAGATTTTTTAAAAGCGTTGATTGCAAATAGGATTAAGTATGCACTCAAGTGAAAATGCAAAACTTTCAAGTGTCTCGTGGAAGTCACGACTGGCAGTGATGAATTTATACTGTATAAAGCTATTACGGTTTCACAGGTCTAGTTTGTTTTGTTTTTCATGTCTGAATACTCGTCTCATTAAGTACCGTTTATCTAAAACAACACCAGTTTATCTGAAGAAAAAACATTCCGATTTTTAAACTTGTATTTTGTGAATGTTAAAACGACTAATTAAGAATTTACTAACTCTTAGTTCGGTCTTGAAATCTACAAAGTTCGACATTTTATTTACATTAACGAATGCATAGCTTGTTTACAAAAAAAATAACTACAGACTATCGAGTAAATCAAATAAAAAATCGTTCATCAATTAAACCAGTGGTTCTCAAATTGGGGTCTCCTAACCACTGTGTTCTCTGGATAATCTCAGATCTGGTCCAAAATGCAAGTGACATCAAAAGCAACACTTTTTTTTCTTTTGTTGATGGCAAGCAAAAGTGGGTAGGGTAAAACTGATAGGTTTTGTGCGGGGTCTTTTGCCCCGCCAAAGTGGTCCGCATACGGAAAAGTATGAGAACCATTGAAGTAAACCAATAAAAACGTATTTCGAAATTACTGAACTTATTACACCAAATAGGATTCGATATAATAGAATCTTAAGTTGGGACTTTCATTTAGTTTCTCTATGCGGTGAATGAAACATGTTACACAGACTACACACTCTCCAAAGTTATTCTATACTAACTTTACTCAAACATAATGTAAAGCCTATTTTAACTGCCTCACCTCTGTCGGTGCATGATCCTAGTAGTGTAACAACGTTTGGATGAGGATCTAAAAACTTCATTATCTCAAGTTCATTCAGCAAGTCTTCTTTCTCCTTCTCCGTTGCGTGCGCTTTGTTAAATAAGGAAAAAGAAATCATTACTTTAAACAAAAGGATTCAGTTTATTAATATGTGCATCTTCATAATTTAGACCAAAAATTAAAATTAATTATGGAAGCTTATAAAAACATGAAAATGTTATCCAGTGATGTCATTGCAGTAAAAAAAAACATAGTGTTTTTATTATCAGTGGTGGGATAATAATAATTATACAAACAGTAACAAGTTAAATGCCCTTTACTTTTCATATTCAATTTCCAATGTTACTTGAACTTATTGGTTTCCAGTATAGACATGTTTTTAAAATAGTTAATTAAATGTGTATAATTAAGTTTTGAAATTATCAAAACCATGAATAAAAAGTATTGGAGGAGGAGGCATGGTCACGCAATGTCATTGATTCTGTTTAACAAATGAAGAATATATTAGGCACTGTTGTGTAGAAGCTTTGCAACTCTTTGTAATAAGCTCTTAAATGGATGTATTGGGAGAAATAAAATTTAGTAGAAAAAATGGAATTTTAATATGTGGCAGTTTTTATTTTTATTAAAATATTTAATTTAAATTGCTCTTTCGAGGTATTTTTTTATACTTACATTTCAGCGTCTTCACGGCTACGATGTGAGCTTCGTCGTTTCGACTATTCTTTATGAGCGCTTCACATTTCCACACTTGTCCAAAACACCCCTCTCCTAGTAGTCCTATAAACTTCAAATGGTGTCGTGGTACCTCCCACCGTTGCCGACCCGAAGTAAACTACGAAAGATCACTTGTTAAGTGTTTATTAAAACTGATTGCTTTTGTACTGGATGCGAAATCTTAGGCACTGAGCTAGGGAAAGAATTACTTTAAAACACATGAAGCTTTATTTAATCTAAATGTCTATAAAACCACCTTATTTAATCTGATTGTATAATCTTGACTACAACAAGGTGAATAAAATGGTGCAGGTGCGCAAAATGGTAGATGCATGCGCAGATCAGCAAAATGATAATGCGCACGCGTGTGCGTAAAATGGTAGGTGCACAAAATGGTACATGAGCGCGCAGGTCCGTAAAATGGTAGATGCGCACGTGCGCAAAATGGTACGCGCGCATGCATGTGCGTAAAATGGTAGATGCGCGCGCAGGGGCGTATATTGGTACGTGCGCGCATAGGTGCGCAAAATGGCAGATGCATAAAATGGTACATCCGCACGCAGATGCGCAAAATAGTGCATGCAAGGTTTGGTGTATAATTTACATTATTGGATGACAAATTATTATTGTGTAAAACATCATATAACTAATACAAATGGTAGAAACCAATAGAAACATCATAAGTTCATGGTATAAGTGCATCACAATTTAATTCTTGTTATCTCAGTAAAATAACTACACAGTTAGCAGTTAATTTTTCGTACTAAAATGGCATCTTCCTTGTTAAGAACATCCCAATTACATTCAAAATAATTTTTTTTCAACAGTTAAATACGAATATCTAAAAGAGAGAAGAAAAACATCCCATTTTCAACAACCTTGTAATAAATAACCTAATTTTGTTAGTTCATATATCGAAGCTCATTTCTGCGAAATTTAAGTGGTTCTGTAGCATTTACACAAGTCTCGGACATCTCCAAGCTTGGTGTGGGAAGAATAAGAAGAATCTTTACGCCAAAGCATTTTATTAAATAACTACTCACCTCATCTGTCATATATGTTAGTTTCACTTTACTCCATCACTACAAAATGGATAGTACAATAATAAATGTTATGTAAAGACGATTTTGTTTATCCAATATGGAAAACAACCTTATAGTCATACATACTGATACATCTGTCATATCTGCTTGGCATTTTCCATATAGAGAATTACTAAATAAAATGATGAACGACAGGACATAAGTTCAAAATATACATGTGTGTCATGTAAACCTAACAAAGTAAGCATTTTACTGAGCCTGTTTATATTGCATTAATCTGTTTTGATGATATTGCTTTTTTGATGCTCGTCTTTTGTTACATTACACTGTGGCATTGATGAAAGCCAATCGTTAAATCTGTGATGATACAATATTTTCCTTCAAGAAGGTCGTTTGAGAACAACTTTATACTTTGTTTGTTGTAACTGCATACCAGTACATGTGTTTATTCTTTGTTATACATTTGTTATTTATTTTGAATAAGTTCAGTGTGGTGGTTGGGTGAGGGAAAAGCCAATACAACAGTAAATTGTTGAAAAACATGTAACATTCAATTGAATGCATATATACATATGTAACTTAAAATATATTCTTCATAAATGGACATAAAAAACTTAAAAATAGGATTAGTAAACATTTTTAATTTAAAATGGGAATGGGTCAAAAAGTACAAAAACAAGTTGAATCAAAATGCAAAGATTATATTTTCAAGCCTCACAACTAGGGACTTTAAAGAACGTAAACAAACAAGGCTGGAAATAGTGTCAACATTATTTTCTCAATCTACAAATCCACTAGAATTGATAAGTACTGTATACATGGAGTTAAAATTGGGATTTGTATCTTGAGAAAATAATGTAGGCACTATTTCCAGCCTTGTTTGTTTACGTTGATTAGAGTCCCTAGTTTTAGGCTTGGAAATATAATCTTTGCATTTTGATTTAACTTGTTTTTGTACTATTTTGATGTTCCCTATTCCCCCTTTTTAATTTAACAATTTCTACTAACCTTGTATTTAACTTTTAAGAAAATGTATTGTTATTTAGCTTTTCATTAGACACCTTAAACATATATCATTAATTGCACATGCACTTAAAATATTTTTTTCAAAATTGTAAAGTTTCAAATAAAGGTTACTTTATCATTAGATCATCTTCTTTAGTATTTCTCTGTTTTAATAAAACAAAAACCTTACACAGTTTAATAAACGTTACTCAATGAATAAACATAAAATATTAACTTACCATTTCTACAGACACACTCTTTCGGGATCGAGTGTGATAGAGCGCGCTAGCATATGGGCCAAGATCGTTTAATTTGCTTTTTTCTTCTTTCGTCTATTACAAACAAATTATACCATATACATTTAATCATAGAGTAACAATTCAATTGTTTTAGTGTGGTACAACAAAGCTGGTGTACCTCTTTAAGCCTAATAAATGTATATATTTTAACACATTTCTCTCAGAAACTTCGAACTACAGCTGAGTGGAAAATATAACATTTGGACATTATTTTCTAATTTATGGATGATTTTTACAGGAAAAGCTTTTTTTATGTTAATTATTTTCGATTTTGAAGATGCAACTTATTAATATGATTTAAACGACGATGTTTTAGTAACCAATTCGGAAACGAATTAAATCTTTTCTGGAAACTTTTTTTTCCTCTTTTCTTTTAATACTTTGGCCAATGAACTTTGTAAACGTTTTACATTTATTACAGATTATAAAATATCCATATTTTTGAGTAATGCTAATGTTACTCAATTTTGCAGACAAAACAATAAACTTTAGAATCTTAGAATGTACCTGGTAAATTTATTTAAATGAATAGGTTCGTAATGTAATTTTGGAAAATTAAGTTTGATAACGTAGAATAACGACAACTGACTTTTGGGAAAACGCAGTTTACAGATATGTTATAAAATAAGCTTAATAAAAACAAAGGCTGAGTTCTGTGCAAAGGTGTTGAAGATTTAAAGGTTATAGGTTAAGGTCAGGGTTATCGTATAAGTACTTCTCCTGTCAATATCATTGATAATAATACAAAGTATGCTCTAAAATAGTCCAAATAAGATGGAAAAAAGTTGTTTCCTACTAAAAATGCCTCAAAATTATTTTCCTTCAGTGCTTTAGCATTACAAGTCCTCAAACTCATCACTGAACCAACGAGAGGCAACATGCAGTAACCTAGTTTGAAACTCATATAGAAATCACAAAGTATCTGCAATTGTACATAATGTTTCATTGCAATTATTAAATTCATTTGTTTCACTTTGGTTAATAAATAAATAATTTACCTTTTGTGAATAAAAAAAATATGATACTTAGCAACTCCATGTGAAAAGGGATATTTTCATAATTTGAATCTGTTTATCTATTTGTTTTCTATATTCGTGCAAAGCTAAACAAACGTTTTCTGTGCTAGCCGTCACTTATTTTGAAATGACAGACTAGCGGAAAGGCAGCTAGTCACTAGCACTCACCACCAACTCTTGCGATACTTTGACCAAGTAGTGGGATTTGACTATCACTTTTATAATGCACTCACGGCTCCAAAGTTCATTCTTTTTTCGGCAATATAGCTGAGAAACTTCTCGCTGGATCCTGATTGTGCGATCCCATAGTGTACCCAATGACGTTTGACAACTATAAATTATTTTCGTATGTTCTAGCGATTAAGTGGCTGTATAAACTATGTTTTGATAGGTGCAGTGTAAAATGATAAGGAAAATCCTTAACTTTGTATTTACATTTTCTTCATGGACTAATGCACTAAATGATGAAACTGTATCGTTTATCACACACACACACACAAAGGAAATCTCTTTTGATACAAGTGAAACCGGCTACTGGAAGCTGTTATTGTAAAATTACTGCTGCAATCATGCATACCAAGTAATATGGTAGTCTGGATGAAATGAAACTATCACCATATATAAATTAAACTAGCCAACCAGTTATTTATCTTTGTTTCTTATATCTTACAATAAAAATGATCCATTGTGCATGTGTTGGCTCGCTCGATTACCGTAATTTTTGGTATGGTAACTGATAACTGTCAGACGCTGTATAACGGCCATTTTGTTTTAGGATCTTTACCCGATAAGGTGAGAAAAAAAACATCCTGAAATAGGACAAATATCTTTGAATTTAAAAGACACAAATACTTAATCAGTTAAGTGAGTCAGCTATTACCTTCCATAAAGCAGGTGATGCAATTAGCATCTAACGAGACCATTAAATACTTAATAACAAAAGAAATAAGGAAGAGGAACATTATATAATATCGTCCTTTATACAATATTTATATAATATTGTCTTTTATACAATATTTACTTCCCGGCACCCTCAGCAGTTTAATATAGAAAGAATGAGTGATCATTATTGAAATATTACTATACTGATATGTTTCGCTTCTTTTACGGGGTAACAATGGATCGTCTAGAAAATGATGCAACTGTTTATTTAGTCGTTTCTCTAAAATCATTACTACTTTAATTTTCATGGAGATAAAGTAACCTATTCTGAAATGTAAGCAAATGTACAGGCTTAAAAAGTGTATTTTTAATGGAAGTGTCAACTGCATTACCGACATAATAAACGTACTTGAACAAGACCTGGAAGAGATATGCTAAGTTATCTAAAGAAACAAGTGATCGAAAATTAAATGCTACTCCAACTGCATTGGCCTAAACACGAAGCTAAACAACCACGTCTTCATATTATATTGAGGTTAAAATATTATTAAGTGTCACAACAGATTTCACATGTTGAGACTGTAAACATTCGACGTTATTTCTTTACGTATACATTACGTGTGTGTGTCTATATATATATATATAACCCAAACACAAGATCCATAATTAAAAGAGATTAATGAATTATTGTTGGACTCAAGAAGTCAATACATTCATATCGAAAAATTTCCCAATATTTCGGGAAGACCGATCGTAGGAGGTAATCAAAAAGTTACTGAACATTAAATAACCTTTTAGACATACTATTAAAACTTTTTTTTAATCTTACATTCCGAATCTAATTAGGGATGATTTTGAATTTATTGAAAAATTGCCAAAAAATTAGAAGAAAATCAGTGTTTTGTTTCTTTAGATGTGGTAGCTCTATCCGTATTGAACATGATTATGGACTTAAAGTTGTGTAATGTTTTCTAGATAAATATGAAAAAATAATCCATCCGAGTTTTAATAAAGGTTTAGATATAGTCTTAAAAAATGTTTGTTTTCACTTACGAGGATAAAGTTTTTAATCAAATGTCTGGTACAGCAATGGGTATAAAAAATTCTCAAACTTATTCTAATACCACTATGAGATTTTTCAATCTACTGTTATTTAATGTACTACCAAATTAGTTTGAATATAATTTTTTTTAGTTCACGTAACAGTTTTGGAAAGGATTTTTAGACGATTGATTTGTGGAATGGAAAGATACTCAAGGTGCTTATAAGTTCGTTGGGATTTTAAATTCGATGAACAAAGATATTAGGTTAACCTTCGAAAGAAATATAAAGGTTTCTTCTTTTTAAATATGTTAGTTAGTGTTTTACCAGAAAAGGAAATTGTAACTGATATTTTTTTATAAACTCACATCAATATGTAGATTTTTTAGTAATCATCCCAAACATATAAAATTAAATGTTTCTACAAATCTTTCAAGTGGAATATATCGTTTGGTTTCCAATGAAGAAACATGGTTTAAAAGTCATTTAAAAACAGCAAATGTATTGGTGTAGAAAATGTCAATTAAAACTTGTCTTTTCTTTTCTTATTGCCACTGAATCAGTCCTACGGAAATTTATGTATGAATTTACGCTATTGGGTGTTAACCATGTGTACGTGCATGAAAGACTTAAAATTATCAACCACATATCTTCAAAGTAATCTCGATACCCCAAAGTAAACGCATGCCATGTGTGGCGCTTATATTCATCCATTGAGAGTTGTGGCTAGTTAGATTTTATGTAATTAAATGGCCATCACTGAAGCTTCAATATGATACTCGTCATCTACAGCGTAACTCGAGCCACTTGATTTGGGTGCACTTACGTTAAATCAATGTGTTAATACAACTGCACCTATCTTATGCTTATCACATAAGAACTTTCTTCACCAAACGGCATACAGAAATGGAAACATGAATTTTAAAGCTTAACACGTTCGCTGTCATGTGCTCCACCGGTGGGTCACAACCGACCTTTAGTTATGGACCTCATGACACACTGGCGGGTCACAGACAATGTTTCAAAGCCACATTTCTCCTGTGGCATATGAGTTTGGGACATTGTGACAGCTCCTCGGCACTTCTTGAATGGGACTAAGGTATTAGTTATTAATACTACTAGTGGCAGCGAACGTGTTAAAGGCATAATTGTGGACTTCTTCCAACATTTAAAATCTTTAGTTTATATACAACTACAACCAGACAATATTGTGAGGTTTAGAAATGTTTAAAAGTATATTAAGTAATCAAGTCATAAAATTTGCAGCAAAGATTATAACATAAGTATACTAGCTTCACGTAAAAAGGTATCGTCAGTCCGTGAAGAAGATTTATGCAGACTTTTATGTAGGATTATTCCCCAAAATGGTAATATAAGAATTACAGTGTTTAACTTGTCCCTAGACAGGTAATCTAGACATTCCTAGCAAGAACCTTGCATATTTCATTAATATAAAATGTACAGATATAAGAGTATTGTTCAATATTGAAGATGAAGACGGTTATTAAAACATAAAACATTTTATTTACAAGGTTTGAACGTTTCGGAATAACTTATTCCATATTCAGCGAAATCTGAAAATTGTGTTATAAAGATAATCATTACTAAAATTATAATATAATAACATAATCATTAGTTTAGTTAGTTATTAATAAAAACGGTAAATTGACGGATGAAACAAATGTTTATATATATATTACACAACATAATTGTTTTAAATTTTCACAGTTAACTCAGCTGTTTTATGTTTTATCAACCGTCTTCATCTTCATTATTAAACTTCGGTTTTCCCATTAAGAGTATTGTTGTTTTCAAAATATTATTATTAAGTAATACAATTCATGCGTTTTTTTAATTGTCAACCATATAACCTTTATCATTTCCAGTAATTTGTATGTATAGATGTAGAATTTTTTATCGTTTTCAGCTTAAGTTATTAAACATTCCTGTTTTCGATGGGTGTGACTAGAATGTCAGGAACCCAGTTAGCAATAGTAAACTTACCGGTTTTCTGAGTTCTGGTTTCAGACATCTCTTATACAATATCCAAAATATCACAGCTACCAAAGGCGTGAATCCAAAAACTGCTAGTATAGGCAAGACAGTAGTAGTTATTTCGTCATGCTCTCCTTTTTTGCCATTTTCTGAAGAGCTCTCCTTCGAAGTGCTAGTGCGTATTGTGGGTGTGCTCCCTTCGCTAAGGGAGAAGACGGAATCGGGAGAGGTGGTGGGGGTTTGGGAGTTTGGGGGGTAGAGTCTGCCAGCGGGAAATTTCTGGGGCGGATCGTTGGGAGAGGGGGTGGCGGAGGGGGCGTCAGGTAAGGAGGGAAGGTAGGGAGGATTTGCATTAGGCCTGTAATGTTGAAAGGGCCGTACTCTGGAACTCCCACGAGAAGGTGGTTTGCTGGTACTGAAAGGAACGTCGAGAGTAAGCTCATCTGGACTTCCACCAGGCCCCAAAACTCGAACATAAACCTCTATTTTTGCCTAAGAAACAAGTGGGTAAAAACAAAAGTAGATCATTTCTGATAAAACGCTAACTTATTACAATTCGTCAAATAATAATAATAGGAAGAGCAAAGATGTTCCACCACATCAAAAAACAGGTTTTAAACTTTCACTCAACAATGAAAAAAAAACAAAATTATCGTATATGTTAAACAAGTGAAAACCATAATTAATAACACAATATGTTTATTTTTTTCTTCCAGGAAGCATAAACGTAATAAATAACTAAACTTTAGTCTTCATGCATATTTATCAAACTTATTTTGCTTATCTAATTTTTTAAAAAATCGAATAGACGAAAACAATGCAAAATAAAACATTACTTACAACCTGGTGGCTATCATTAGCTGTGATAAAGAGATAATAGTCATTTCCCACCTAAAAGAATTGGTTAAGAAAAAAATAATGCATTAAGTTAAAACACACACACACACGCGCGCGAGCTACGAATTTATGATGCATTAGCAACACCGGAATTGTGTTTTGAAATTTTTCTTCACGATTGTAAGCTATAAAAGTAGCATATACATATGTATTTACATAAAAGTATAATAACTCATTGATTTATAGGAATATTATTTCTGTTAGTGACCTGCATCCAAACAACCAGTGACAACCTGATGAATTTCACCCAGCCAATTTTTTAAACAAAAGAAAATGTAACGTGCTTCAGATTATTTTACATCAATTTCACTGCACAGTTTGTGGTAGAAGATCTCCACTTCAAATGAACTTAGCGAACACGCGAGGAATCGCAGCACGTGGCATTCATTGCCATACTAAAAAAAAAAGTTCTTCAGCATAGTCAGATTCGAGAGAAGATGACATAGTATAGGTTATTGCGAGTGCAGTGTAAATCAGCAGGAAGAACCACGCGTGGCCTTTGAAGACATACCTTTATTGCGTGAAATAATCATATAAGAACTAATAAGGCATTTTGTAAGCGGATCAATGGAAAAAAGGTATTCAGTTCTGTGTGTGCGATATCCAACAGGAAACCCAGTGTAAACCTGCAGTGGTCTATTGATATACAGACCCATATATTCTTCCACGCAATTATATAAGATTTAAGGGAGGTAGAGAAAAATAAAACAAAACTTTATAGAGTATACAAAAACAACAACAACTAAATAAACACACTGGTATTCACAAATCTTACGTTTACCTTGATCAAAATAAATAGCTCGAATTACATTTGTATTCATAATACACGTAATATTAATAAAATAAATATTACGACCGTAATGGTTGCCGATGATGCTAGAATATAATAATCAGGGATAAATTTTTGGAAATTTTTATACCAGTGTTAAGAATACTTGCAGGGCGAGCATGCAAATATACACACGCAGGCCATTCCCATCCCCGCCATTTATATTAGTATAATAAGAGTATTAAATTTTTTTGTTAAAGTACTGTGTTTGATATTTTGAAGTTGGTGTAAAAAAAATTTGTACCGATATACTCAGTACCATGTCTACAATCATTTTCTGGGATTCACCTCTGCTTTAGATTACAAAAAAAAGCGTGTTGCATAGAAATGACATGATAAACCAAAGTCACGATTTGAAAACATTTGGCCGTTAATGTCTAGTAAAGGTGTTATAGTATCAGTCATTTGACGAGATTTATCCTTGGAGAGCGAACGCTTAATCGCTACACTAAATCTGTGTACAATGCACACTAGTGGAACGAACCCCTAAATCTTCACGCAGAAAATAAAATTGCTAGAACAAATCACATAATCTCCATATCAGTTAAACTTTTGTGCATTAATGGAATGAAGTCTTTTATCTCTTTATTCAACTGATGAACTAAAAACTCTACCCGAAACCGATTATCATTAGTAGAAAGAACCCTTAATTTGTGCATTAAAACAGTGTACCTAATGGAGAGAACCTCTTAATCTCTTTACTATACTGACTGGATATTAATGAAATGAAGCTTTAAACTTGTGCACCAAGCTACTGTGCACTATGGTGAAACGAACCCTTAATCTCTGTAACAAACCAAGAACACTAGTGGAACAAATGCTTAATTTTCTTCGCATATTACTAAAGTATTAAATTACGACAATTATATAAACAGGGATAGGCTTCTATGGGACAAAATGGTTAGGCTGTAGAGGATTACCCAACGTGGAGATAAAATAGCAAAGTTCAAGTTTTCTGAAACAACTATTCAAAATAAATAACATCGCAGATAGGAGAATGAAAAATAGTGGGTGGGTAGCGTACCCTTGAGTCTAACACAGTATATAAGCAAAATATCAATCAGTTTGCCACTGTGACTTTAGTCTATTTCAAAATGTACTTTATGCGTCGCATATATTGCAATCTTTTGTAAGGATGAACCAATTTAACATTTATTTTTAAGACATATGAATATGTAAGTACACATACACACCTGTATATATAAGTAAAAGATCCAAATTCGTGTAAAATGAACAATTAGTATTACACTAAAGCAAAAATACTTTTATATACAAATACAATTAAAGTACAAGCTACAAACTGCAGACAAAGAAAACACATCAAATGAGATCTTCATAATTTTTAGTAATACTGCTATGCAGAAACAAGGTTTTTATATTGTAAGAATTATTACATTAATTTCCAATTTTAATTCTTAATGAATATTCGTAAAATGTTTGTAACGCATTACTTCGTACACATTTTACTGTGCATCTACGTAAAATACACAAATTACAATATATTTTATAACGTGAAACTTAGAGCTTGCAAGTCGACAGACGTGAGATGTAATTAGTTGAAATTCAAAATAATTTAATGCAAATTTACTGAAATTAAGGCTTGAATATACATACACCAGTTAAATAACCTAAAGAACAGAATCTACTTTCAAACTTGCATATACTGTTGGATTTTGTTAATCTCATACAAGGGTTAGTTGGTTGGTGAAGTTTTACCATTTCTCAATTCAAAATATGTTTGTTTGTTTGTAGTTAAGCTCAAAGCTACACAATGGGCTATATGTGCTCTGCCCACCACGGGTATCTAAACCCAGTTTCTAGCGTTGTAAGTCCGCAGACATACCGCTGTGACACTGGGGGGGGGGGAGGATACGCTTAAGTTAAACAAATGCTTATAAAAGGAAATCGATAATTCTAATCGATTTTAATAAAACTCTGTATAATAATAATTATTGGTAGTAACTTATGAGACATCTATATGATATTGTAAAAAAAAATCAAATATCTCAATCTTATCATAGGACGGAAGTACTCTTTTAAGAGTGGAATTCACTTAAGTAAATAAACAATTTAACTGTGCCCGGTATGGCCAGGTGGTTAGGGCGCTCGATTCGCAATCTGAGAGTCGCGGGTTCGAATCCACGTCACACCAAACATGCTCGCCCTTTCAGCCGTGGGGGCGTTATAATGTGACGATCAATCACACTATTCGTTGGTAAAAGAGTAGCCCAAGAGTTGGCAGTGGGTGGTGATGACACTAGCTGCCTTCCCTCTAGTCTTACACTGCTAAATTAGGGACGGCTAGCGCAGATAGCCCTCGTGTAGCTTTGCGCGAAATTCTAAAACAAACAAAAATTTAACTTTTTAATTAATTGGATAAAAGTTTAAAATGCTTTCTACACTCTTAATAAATGAAACTAATTTGCGACGTTTCGGCCTTATGCGCACTTCAGGCCATGGTTGAGTTACTAATTGGGCGGAATATCAGATAAATATCTTCTGAATCTCGTGAACATAATAATCATTAGTAGGAATTCGATATTATTTTTATTAATTCTTGTGTTTACCTTGTTTTTTCTTATATACTGAGTCGATTATTGCCAACACACGTTATTTTGATTGCCTCACAATAACTAAAAAGATATCCTCAAACTGTTACTACTCCGAAGAACAAAATGTGAAACGATGGAACTCACGCCTCACCACCACCATAATACACTCCGACCTGATAGCCTACAATTCAGTTAGTTCTCACTTATCAAATGCATATTCACGTGGTCTTATCTTTTTATTCTTGTGTTTCCAGAGGTTTTTTTTAAAGAATCATTACACACTTCAACGAACTTTCAACCGCTTGAAATAACTAAGAACAAAAATGATCCACCAAGTTTGACATTTTCTTCACAAATGCGCTACACCCCATGAACTTCGCCAATCTCAAGAAAGATTATTCTTGTCTTAAGAATCATAAGTAAAAATAATAACTAGAAGGACCAGCATCAGGACTGACATTATATGTGATCTTTTTGCCTCTGTAATATTAGGACAAACTTTTTATCCAGTTCATGGGGGATATGGACATATAATAATGTACGCAATTAAGCATATATATAACTTTAGCTAGACACATAATTTATTTTATGACTGATATATGAAAGGGTTATGAAATAAATCTGATTTAAACACGAATATATGTCTCTAATTCGAAAATATGTGTATAATCATTCCCAGACAAGTACAACCACAAATGAGAAAAGAAAAATATATAGAAGAAAAATCTCCAACAGATATTCCGTGACTTCATTCAACCCATATTTCTTATATCTTAGTTTCGTCCCGACATTTACAACACTTCAAAGGCACATTAGCTCGATCGTAACAAACTACCTATAACCCCGCACCCCGGTATCTTGCAGAGACGATTGCAACACGTAGGAGGAATTAGTATGTTATAGTGAAAAGTGTAATCTGGGATATTTGCTTTAATCGTTAGGAAATTATTTTGTGTTATTACATTTAGGGGCCGTTGTGATTATATTTACTGCAAAACATATACTTTATGCTTGAAATAAATCAACCTCAACACTACTTTTCAGCTATGGTTTATACCTCAACAGCTTCGTTTATAATATGCAATATTTACAAAGAATAAACCAATCTGATTATAATCTATAGACACTCATCTATACTTCTTCGCCTTTTGTGTAACTTAATGATGTTATAGAAAGCTACAACTGTAGGAACGTTCGTTAAAAACTGTCAGATTTGTTTCTTTATTCCACTTTTCAAAGTATGAGCAAAACATTTGAAAAAAGACAAGTTAAAAGTAGTATAGTTCGAAGTAGAAATTTAATACGTTACACTTGTACATCATGTCCTTACAAAAAATAAAAAAATATTTAAATTTGCCCCAAAAGAATACAGAAATTATCAATAATAGAAAACCGGTAATATGACCTTGGAAAGTAAAACGTAGGAAATCAGGTACTATTAAAAATAATCTTTTATTTTATTACTATGACAGAGAAAAATACAAGATGAGAACTTGGGCAACTGAGATGTTGCAGGTTAGTGAACTTTCTTTACCAGTATACTAAAACAATATATAATTTACAATAATCAACATAGATAAGTAGACCCTATCTGTAGCATGTAACTCCATGGAACAAAAGCGTGACAATGTTCATTCAATACTTTCATAAATTATCATGTTATTTACGACTTGTCTCTTCCAAAAATTAAAGTACGTTAATAATTTTTTTTTATATTTCTACAAAATAAAATTCATATTTGAAACAATATTACTAACCTGGCCCTCGAGACTTTTAATTAAAAATACTTCTCCTGTCTTCTTGTTGATCCGGAAGAATTGTGAGCCATCCAAGAAGACAGCTGGTTCGATGTCGAATTCTAACCTATCTTTTTCATCGTCACTTGCCCGGACTGTGACAATCCTGGTTCCTAAATATATAAATGACGCAGAGAGTATATATCAGTTGTACTCTTACTCAACTTGTATAAGAATGGTACTTACGTTTAATTCACAATTTTTATATCCTCATACATCATGAGATTTTCGTGTTTCATACTACATTGTTACTAAATTTTGACTATGAACTGTTTTGTATTTTAATATATATATATATAAAGATACCAACAACATCTTTTAAAACTATCATGATTGTCATCGGGTTTGAAGATAGAGAAAAACGTTATAAAATATTTTTGATGTACCTAAGATGATTTAAATTATGTGTTATGATGATTATATCCACTTCAACTGATGCTACTGCAGAGGTGACCCCCTTTTCAGTTTTTTTTATAAACGGTTAAGTATTTCAAAATTAGTAAACGAATTTCCATGATGCAAACAACTATATACTTTATACAAAGTGAGAAAGGGTGTTTTTAATATCATTCAACGATTTCAAACTTTTAAGTATAGAAGGGGTAAGGTTGTATTATTATTATTATTTTACACAGTGAATTCAAACCTGTGCCAAATAATCTTATCTTATTTCATTGCAGCTAACGATTCTACAATTTACCCCAGTTGTCATATATGAAAATAGTTCAGTATTTCAACTCTAGAACAAGGGTCTTAATATATTCAACCTTTGTCCATATTGTACAGTTACAATAATGTTCGATTCACTAAAGGACTGAGTTAAAAATGCTTTAAGACTTTTGTAACGCAACCATAATGTGTTTAAAAAAGTAACACTGAATTCCAGCTATATATACATAATTATAGTTTTATTCGAGTTCACCAAAATATTTCTGACCAGATATATTTCAGGTGACTAAGAAAAGTTACCAGATATTGATTGAAAACAAATATCATGAACATTAATATTGCTGGAAATCATATGAAATTGTTAAAAACATTATCAAATCTTTTATTCAATAACCGTATAAATGAATTTGTGTGCTCGTTTGTTAGTTATAATTTCATTCGTTGATTATCAACCTCAGTTTCGTAAAAAAATAAAGAAAAGAAAAAAAAAACATTCTTATTCTTAAAGAGTCAAATAATTTACTAAAAGTGACCAATCGTTATCAGGATGTGTGTATAAATACCATAAGTCAAAGAATCCACGCCTTAGTCGATTTTCAGCAATTTCAGATTACCAGGTTGCGACACGGTGGAAACATATAAGTGAAATTACTGACTCTTATAGCTTACTAATATCTCATATTTTTCATGAATTCTGGTACGATAATTAAAACTATTTATGGTAGTTATTTTCATGACTTTTTACCAGACGGATCAAATTTCCCGCGGTGATGTGGGCTTACAATGAGAAAATTAGTGTATAGTAAAATCGGTGATCAGAAACTGATTTCATTTCGTTTCCTGTGGGCTAATCACGTGTAATAGCACTAAATCATAATCAACAGATGTATACCTATGACGTTAAGGATGTGGAAAAGCAACAAAAACATTCTCAATATAGTTTCCTTTTAAATACGAGGCATTTTCTCCGTTGTTCAGTGAGTTTTATTATAACAGCTCGGTAAAATGCAGGTCTGATGTTTCGAATCAGTTTAAGAACTTCGGAGAATGTTCGGAACTTTTGTTCACTAAGGTAAGCCTCGAGACGGAAGCCAGAGAATGCTAAGAAAACCTATGAGCAGTCGTTTCAGAAGTAATATCATTGTTATAGTGCAGAGAAACATCTAAAATCGAATGGATATTGACCTATTAACAAGACCATTCGTTGACCGCAAATGATTTACACCCAGCACAGGGAAAGAAAATATTGTTTATTTTTGAAAATAAACCTCTAGTATGCCTGTGCTAAATTCGATCAAATATTTATCATTAGGTTCCTAATCTTCCACAGACATGGTAATAAAAATAAAAGCATTTCATTTTTTGTCATCAGGAGGAATAATGTATCTAAAATTCATAAAGTGTAGGTTTCTAATAACCGACATTTGGAGGGGTTTACATGCATACAACTATGAAAACACCAGGACAACTATCGTGAAATAGTAAGATTTTGACTATAGGAGACTTCACAGATTGAAGTAATAAACAGCTGAGATGTTTGTGTATGCCTAAAAATGACAAAGTAATATATATATATATAGGGGTTGGATAAGATAATGGAAACGTTTCTCCTTTCATGTTTCATAGTCTAGTGTCTCTTAGAGAAAAAAAGTTAACCTATTGTAAATTACCTTGGAATTAAATTATTCTATGCCATTGAATTTGTCTGTATACGAATGGCGTGTAGCTGTTTGTTTCAGATGGAGATTCTAAAACTGTTAAGCTAAAAAGATTCATCAGATTTCCAAAGAGGCATGATAATAGGTGAAAGTTGAATTGAATTCTCAATGACACGAATACCTAAAAATAAAGAATGTATCTCGAGGAGTCCCCTGTTGAGACAGCGGTAAGTCTAAGGACTCACAGCGCTAAAACCTGGGATTCGATTCTCCGCGATGTACACAGCATGTGGCTTTACTCTAAAACAAACAAACAAAATTAACGTGACGTCAGTATAGATATCGAAAAATAAAACCATATCAGAGAAACATAATAGTGGTGGAAAAACTAAGTAGACAGCTCGTGAATAAAAAGGGTAAATAAACTTCTATTGATTCAACCAAGTTGTTTGATTGCCGTTTCATCTTCTCAATTTCAATATAAACCTATACAGCCTTTAATAATAACTTCATAGTCGCTTTGTGCAGGCCCATTCATTGTTGTGAAGGTTCTATTAACCTCTTTTTCTTTTCATTCTAGGTGTCGTTTCACCACATCTTCTGCATGCTTTGAATCAATGTTTTGCTGGAAGATTAATCCTTGCCAAACAGGTCTTGTATCTGAAGCAATAGCATGATGGATAAGAATATGTTTGTACGTGTCGGTAGTAAGGATATCTTCAATATATTTGTATAAATCTCCTACACCATTGGCTGAAAAGCAGCCAGAGGCTGCACTGATCCAACACTATACTTCTTTATAAATC